AAAAAAAAAAAAAAAGATTTGCTTATTGGAGCCGACTCTGTGGCATAGTGGGTTAAGCTGCCACCTGTAGTGCTGGCATCCTGTATGGGTGCTGGTTTGAGTCCTGGCTGCTCCACTTCCAATCCTGCTCTCTGCTATGGCCTGGGAAAGCAATAGAAGATGGCCCATGTGCTTGGGCCCCTGCACCCACATAGGAGACCTGGAAGATGCTCCTGGCTCCTGGCTTCAGATCAGCCCAGCTCCAGCCATTGCTGCCATTTGGAGAGTGAACCAGTGGGTGACAGACCTCTCTCTTTCTGTCTGCCTCTGGCTCTCTGTAACTTTGCCTTTCAAATCAATAAATAAATCTTTTTTAAAAAAATGTATTTATTGATTTGAAAGGCAGAGTTACAAAGACAAAGAGGGAGATCTTTCATCCACTGATTCACTCCCCAAATGGTGGCAACAGACAGGCCGAACCCAGGATTCTGGAACTCCATCCAGGTCTCCCACATGGGTGGCGGGGCCCAAGCACTTGGGTCGTCTTCTGCATTGGCAGGTGCATCAGCAGGGAGCGGGATCGGAAGTGGAGCAGCTGGGACTCATCCCCTGCTCTCACAGAGGATGCCACATTGCAGGCACCCAAGGCTGGGTGCATCTTAACTCAGCGTCAGGTGCCTGAGCTGGGCTGACTGGAGGGGCCCAGCCTGTGGCCCTGGGCAGGTGCCTGTGGCTGGCCCTTGGGCTCTGGCTCAGAGTGTGGTGACCGGGTTCCTGGGGATGTTCCTGAGAGCTGATGTGGCCCAGGACCCAGTGGCCAGGCAGCAGCTGTGTCCTTTGTGACCCAGCCCCCGAGGTCACAGGGCTCCCTCCAGCCTCACTTGATTAGAACAGAGGTGCCACTTTCAAGGGGCAGCCGCGGACCCGCCCTTAGGAAAGCAAGTGTCCCTGTGCCCCCACCCCTCGCCTACTGCTGCCTGGACACACAACTCGGGCCTGTGGGGCAACACGGTCTGCTTAGGGCTTGGTCTGCAACCATCAGTGGTTCTGGACTCTCACTTGGCTGCACGCTGCCCTGCCCTACCTGCTGCTGTCCCAGTGGTTCTGAGTCACGTTCTGACGGGATGGGAGGTACATGCCAACGCCACAACCTGCAAAAGGTGCAGAGACACCTGCCCTGGCCCCACGACCCCATTCTCCCTGGGGCAGACTTCCGTGTGTGGTCCCTTCCCCGGTGCCCGGCGCGCATGCGAGGGCTCGGATGTGCAGAAGGCCGCAGACTGCTGCATGTGGCTTTGTGTTAACACCCTGGAGACCTGCACCTGCGTCTCCTTGAGAAGCGTGTGTGCTTCAGGTTCTCTGCTGCGTGATGGGTAGCATTGCTGCGGCTGCGCTTTCTGTAGGGGTGCAGTTCTGGGGCTGGACTTGGCCTCCTGCGGGCACAGCTGCAGCAAGAGTGGACCTGCTGGCCAGAGCGCAGGAGACCACCAATCCCCACGTGCCCCTGCTGCTGCGTTTGCCCCGAGGTGAGAGCTGCACCAGCCTGTGCAACAGTGGCCAGGGCCTCCGTCTCCTTCACCTTCTCCCCTGCCCCCCACCGTGATGTGGCAGCTGTGCACACCTCAGAGCCCGCGGGCACCAATGGGCTCCCACAGTGGCTCAGGTTGGGTGGGGGCCCTCTGCCCTGCAGGCCCCGGAAAGACGTGCCTCACCGGTGTAGCACCCACTTCGACGCGGTGGCCCAGATCCGTGGCGAAGCCTTCTTCTTCAAAGGTAAGCCCCGGTGTCCCTTGGGGGCGGCCGAAGGGCATGGCGCACCCTGGGGTTTAGACCCATCAGCCCAAGGCCGCCCTCCCCTCTGTCCCCAGGCAAGTACTTCTGGCGCCTGACCCGGGATCGGCACCTGGTGTCCCTGCAGCCGGCACAGATGCACCGCTTCTGGCGGGGCCTGCCGCTGCACCTGGACAGTGTGGACGCCGTCTACGAGCGCACCAGCGACCACAAGATTGTCTTCTTCAAAGGTGGGCGGCCCACTGGCCTCACCGACCGCAGCCGCAGCCGGCGCCCCCGCGGCTCACGCGCCTGCGATCTGCTGGGGCAGCAGGTTTGCTCCGCCTGCCGGCACCGTGCACAGAGCAGCACTGGATGGATGCGTGTTGAGCGCCTACTGTGTGCCTCGTCCTTGGTAGGCCTGCAGGTGCCCCTTCTGCTGGGCACTGTGAAGCCCGCGAGAGTAAGGAGTGACTTTCAGGGGCTGAGGGAGAGGGAGGCCTGCTGCCCAGACAGCCTCTGGGGGAGACGCTGTCTGAGCAGAGAACCAGGGCAGAGTTCCAGGCCAAGGGAGCTGCCCCGGCAAAGGCCCTGAGGCAGAGAGGGTGCCCAGGGCGGTGGGGAGGAAAGCCCAGCTGGCCCTGAACCCTGCCCCAGCTCTGTGGACAGCCTTTGTCGTCGTATCTGCGCAGGCCTTTCGCTCATGTCCACGTGGGAGTTAAGGGCAGGAGTAGAGGCGGTGCAGGGCACAGGTGTCCACACCGGAGTAGCAGGTGGTGCTGTGGACCACGGATCCTGAGGACAGAGGCCCGAGATCTCCCACTGGGGCCTCTCTCAGCGGCAGGTGGCACCAGCCATACTCCTGGGCTTCTCACAAGGACACCAGTCCCCAGGTTGAGCGGGCCCTAATTTTTTTTTTTTTTTTTTTTTTTTTTGACAGGCAGAGTGGACAGTGAGAGAGAGAGACAGAGAGAAAGGTCTTCCTTTGCCGTTGGTTCACCCTCCAATGGCCGGCGCGGCCGGCGCGCTGCGGCCGGCGCACCGCGCTGATCTGATGGCAGGAGCCAGGAGCCAGGTGCTTTTCCTGGTCTCCCATGGGGTGCAGGGCCCAAGCACCTGGGCCATCCTCCACTGCACTCCCTGGCCACAGCAGAGGGCTGGCCTGGAAGAGGGGCAACCGGGACAGAATCTGGCGCCCCGACTGGGACTAGAACCTGGTGTGCCGGCGCCACTAGGTGGAGGATTAGCCTAGTGAGCCGCAGCGCCGGCCTAGCTGGCCCTAATTCTGCGTGGCTGCTCTTAATGACCTCTGGAAAGACACCTTCTCCGTCTTCAGCCACGTCTGAGGTTGCGCGGATGTGCGCATGGGGGCGCTGCAGCACAGTGCAGCAGGGCGGCTCCCAGACTCAGGAGATGCCCCTCTGCCTGACGCATGTGTTAGGGGAGCTGCTTCCCCCCCACACCCCATTCCCATCTCCTGCTCAGCCCTTACAGGTGCTGGCTATGGGCATTGTCACTGGTGAGCTGAGCAGCGACCACTTGGGAGGCTGGGCCAGTGGAAGGCACAGGCCAAGGCCTTGGGCAGAGGTGGCCCAGGAAGCTGTCCACAGGGACCTGTGTGAGACAGAAGGAGCAGCACAGGGTCCAGCGGATTCCAGAGGATTTTTTAATCCAATTTTAACATCGTCTTTATGTTGTGTTCACCTCACTGTCTCTTTTTAAACTAATTAATTTGCAAATCAGAGTTACAGAGTGAGGGAGGGACAGAGAGAAATCTTCCATGTTCTGGTTCACACCTGCAATGGCTGCAATGGCCAGGGCTGGAGCAGGCCGGAGCCCCAGAGCCTGGAACTCCATCTCGGTCTCCCGCATAGGCAGCAGGGGCCCAACTACTTGGGCCATCTTCTGCTGCTTTCCCAGATGCGTTAGCAGGGAGCTGGAAGGGAAGCGGAGCAGCTGGGACTTGAGCCAGAGTTCCAGTATGGGATGGCGGGTGGCGGCTTAAATGGGGCTGGTGCACCACCTCATCCCCTTAGAGATGGTTTCTTCTCACCACACACCGCCTCTGTTTTTTGTTTGTTTGTTTTTTGATTATTTGAAAGGCAGAGCAAGAGAGAGAGAAGGAGAGATCTTCCATCTGCTGGTCCAGTTCCCCAGTGGCTGCCACAGCCAGATCTGGGCCAGGCTGAGGCCAGGAGCTAGGAGCTCCACCCAGGTGTCCGAGCACGTGGGCCGTCCCACTGCCTTCCCACGCCCATCAGCAGGAAGCTGAATTCCAGCCCAGCTGCTGCTGTGGGGTGCCAGTCTTGCAAAGGGGCTTAACCCATTACGCCGCCACACTGGCCTGATCTCCTTCCTTTTCGAGGCTGTAATACTGGTTTGTGCCGGGGAGCATGGTGTAGGTGGACGCTGGGCTGCCTTCACTCTTCAGCTGCTGTGAGCGCTGGTGCAGCATTGTCTCTCTGAGACACTGAGGTCAGTCTTCTGGATGGATGCCAGGTGGTGTGCGATCCTGAATCATGGTATAATTCTGGTGGCTTTTTTTTTTTTTTTTAAGATTTATTTATTTTATTTGAAAGGCACAGTTATAGAGAGGCAGAGGGAGAGAGAAGCCTTCTATCCATTGGCTCACTCCCCGAATGGCCGCAACAGTCAGAGCCGCACCGATCTGAAGCCAGGAGCCAGGAGTTTCTTCCGGGTCTCCCACGTGGGTACAGGGGCCCAAGGACTTGGGCCATCTTCTACGGCTTTCCAGGCCATAGCAAAGAGCTGGATCGGAAGTGGAGCAGCCGGGACTAGAACTGTTGCCCATATGGGATGCCGGCACTACGGACAGCAGTTTTACCTGCTACGCCACAGTGCTGGCCCCTGTAATCCTGTTTTTAGATTGTTTAAGAAACCATGTACCATTTCCCACAGGGGCTCCACCATCAGCGCCCAAGGCTTCCAACGGCTCACCTGCCTGCCAGCACTTGGGATCATCTGTGTGTGGGGCAACAGCCGTCCTCGCGGGTGTGCCGCGCCCTCCCTGGGCTCTGTGGCCGTTGGTGAGGCCAAGCACCTCGCTGTATGCTGTTGGCCACCCGTACGTCTTCTCTGGGGAGACGTCCACTCCAGCCTCTGCAGGCGGATTTCCAAACTGCTGCGTGTGTCCAGGCCGAGCGCTGGCCGCTGCTCCCCCGCTCACTGCGCCCTGTGTGCAGCAGCTGCCACGGCAGCGCTGGGCTGCAGGCTGCTGTCCCTGCCAGGCACACAGTAGGCGCTCAATGGCCATTCAGATTCGTGCTGCCCCGTCCCCTTGCCTGGGCGGGGAGGAGGGAAGGCCGGGGCCCCCTGCCCCTTGGGGTGGGGCTGAGCCCCGGCCCATGCTCTTTCTCTCGCCCCCAGGAGACAGATACTGGGTGTTTAAGGACAATAACGTGGAGGAAGGATACCCGCGGCCCATCTCTGACTTCAGCCTCCCACCCGGCGGCGTCGACGCCGCCTTCTCCTGGGCGCACAATGACAGGACTTATTTCTTTAAGGGCCAGCGGTACTGGCGCTACGATGACCACACGCGGCGCATGGACCCCGGCTACCCCGCTCAGAGCCCCCTGTGGAGGGGCGTCCCCAGCATGCTGGACGACGCCATGCGCTGGTCCGACGGTGAGCGCCGGGCGGGGCCGGGCTGTGCGGCCTGTCTTCATCTGCAGATCAGGAGTCACACGGGTGGTTGGGGGCTACCCAGAGCCAGTGCGTGTCCAGCCCTAGCGTGGACAGGTTCCCCACAGACGACACGGCCCCGTGTGATGCTTCTCACATACCCGGTGCACCCACCCCAGGGCCTTGCCACCTGCTGTGCCCTCCTCCCAGACAACCACACAGCCCCGGCTTCCCTGCTGCAGGCCTCTGACCAAGTGCTCAGCTCAGAGGCAGCTCCAGCCTCCAGCAGCCCCTCCTGGGCCTTCCAGGCTCACGTGGGTGCCCTTGAGGCTCAGGCGAAGATGGCCCTGTCTGAGAGCCCCCGGGGCTCCCCCTGGCCCTGCAGTTCTTCCTTACCCGTCCTCCTGCTGTCTCACTGGGGCCTCTCATGCTTCAGCCCCTTGGTGTGGGTGGAGCCCAGCCCAGAGCTCAGCTCGCCTCTCCCCTCCCCAGGCGCCTCCTACTTCTTCCGTGGTCCTGAGTACTGGAAAGTGCTGGACGGCGAGCTGGAGGCAGCACCCGGGTACCCGCAGTCCACGGCCCGGGACTGGCTGGTCTGCGGAGAGCCCCAGGACGAGGACACTGAGGCAGTAGGCGTGGACAGGGCCGCACAGCCCGGACAGCATGGCCAGAGCCGCTCAGGGAACAGCTATGAGGTCTGCTCCTGCACCTCCCACGCCCCCCCTCTTCGGGCAGCTGCCACACTGCTGCTGCTGCTGCTGCTGCCGCCCAGCGCACTGTGGACAGCAGCCAGGTCCTGACACGACAGCCAGTGGCACAGCCTATGAAGGGACAGAGGAGCCAGGACAACTGGGACCACGGAGGGCGAGGGCCGGCGCCACTGCCCCTGCAGTACCCGGAGCCAGTGCCCTGCAGCCTGGCCTTGCAGAGGAGGGAAGAGGCCAGCAGAGGACACTGCCCCTGCCACCCCAGGGCTGCCCATGGCCCAGCACCCCGGCCCTCCCTGCTGCCTGCACCTTTGGGGCCCTGGCTGCTGGCTGTGGGCTGGGGAGATGGCCAGGCTGGGCCATGAAGCTGCCCTGCCACCCAGCAAGTGACCAGGTCCTGCAAAACTTGACTGACAAGCGGACGGCTGTCCACCCTGAGCAGGTGCTCAGTAAGCCACGGCTGCCCCCAACCTCTCCTGGCCTGGAGGAGCAGCCTAGCAGGGGGCCAGGACCCCCTTCCCTTCTGCGCTGCCCACCCCCACGTGTGCACATTGCTGCCCTGGTGCCCCACCCCGCTGTGGGGCTTTGTCCCCAGTGGGCCCACGGCCCCAACACAAACCAGCCTCTTGTGCCGCATTTCAGACAAACATGACCCCCCGCCCCGCTTCATAAGGCTGAGCTCGGCTCCCTGAGGGGTTGCGTGGCCCTGACACAAATCCACCTGGGCTCCAGGTGGCGGGGAGCTCTCAGGATGCCTGTGGGTGGTCAGTCTATCCTCAAGGCCATTGGCCCCTTTCTGTACAGTGGCTCCTGAGTCCATGTTCTCAGGAGTCATTCTGTCCATTTCACAGGTGGGAGTGTTGAGGCCCAGGGTGAGGAAGTGAGCCTCAGGCTGCGGGCGAGGGTCAGTGGGTTGTTGTTGGGACGCTTATCTGGACCTCACAGTGTCCCTTCGCCAGCAATGCTGAGCCTGCTTTGTGTGGGCCATGGTCTGTGCAGAGCCAGATGCACGTCCACACTCAGTGGTATTCCTCAGGACACTGCCCACCCCAGGCGGCCGGGTTCCACCTGGGGAAATGTGGGGCGGCCGTCTGGCCTGGCTCACCCACAGGCCGGCCTCTTCGTCCTCCAGAGAGCCGCTGCCCCTGGCTGACGTGTGTGTCCTCCTGGGGTGCTGCTGACACCGGGGGCATTCCTGACCCTGCCTGTCCATGCCCCGGTCACCATGGCAACATAGAGCCCCCGCAGGCCCCCTAGCTTGGACTCAGCAGCAGGTCATCCCTGGGACTGGGAGGGACCTTCTACTTCTGGAACAGAAGTGGGTGCAGTTGGGAGGGGTGGGTGGCCGGGTGGCAGAAGAGATGGGCTGCTGCGGAGCAGGATTTCTCCCTGGGGCCCCGGCCAGCGGCACCCAGCAGCACACCTGGGGCCCCTGTGTCTGGTCACTTTCTCACCGAGCCTGGTCACACCCTGCGTCCCGGTCACACCGCTGCCTCCTCCTTGGAGCCAGGAGGGTCTCTGGCCTCTAGGCAGATGGGAAGGACCACCTCCCTTCCCAGGCGGGAGCAGGCTCCCTGCCTTTCTCAGGGACACCCCGGCATGCACCGGGCACCTGTCTGCTTCCCCCGGGTCATCGGCTGTGGCAGGAGCCACTCTGGGGCGGGGCGGTCGACAGGGAACCGGCGCAGCGGGGACCCTGGGGCTGGGCCCGGCCCGGAGCTCTGTGCCGCAGGCTTCTTGCTGCTGTTGTGATCTTTTGTAAAACTTCCCACCAGTCTGCTCCTCGGTGAGGAGGCAGCAGCTGGCTCCCCAGGCCGCAGCCCGCCCTCTCCACACAGCCGTGGTCTCCGTGAGCGGCGCGGTGGGGCCTGGGTGTGTGAGCACGTCGGGGGCCCCTCCAGCAGACAAGAAGAGCCGTCTCCCCTGAACCGCCTGGCGACCCTGGGCACCTCTCTGTGTTTCTCCCAGGACGTCCTCCAGGAAGTGGTGTGGATGCAGTGGAGCCCTGCCCGGGTTCTGCCGTCCACAGAAGGGCCCCGGTCAGCGTGGCGCCATCTCAGCTCGCCGTCCGCCTGCATAGCCCCTCAGTCTGACCTAGCACTTGTGGGGGGCGTGGGCTGGTGCTTGCCTCCGTGGGTCCTGCGTCTTGAGCAGGGATGTCCAAGAACCACGATGCCCCAGTGGTCACCATTGAAACCCCTGGAGATTTCCTGTGAAAGTCCAGTTTTTCAGGCCGGCTGTGCTGGCTCTGCTGGGGAAGTGGCATTGGCAGCCTGCAGCCCAGGGGGCCCTGGGCAGGAAGTGTGGAGGCCTCCGCATGGCCCAGCCTGCGAGCAAACCCACGTGTTCCCCGTGTGCGTGGGGTGGAGGCCACAGCATGTTCATACCGACACCCGCTGCAGGCGGGGAAAGTGAGGCATGGTGTCAGCTCAGCTCTGTCACAGGACACCACACGTGGGCGGCCCAAGCTGCTTACTCCCCAGGCTGGGCTGGATATCTGGTCAGCTGTCCTGCCCTGGAGGGGAAAGCCAGCCACATCACCTCGAGGCCCCCGTGACCCCACCCAACCCTGACCACCCCCAGAGGCCCTGCCTGCTAACACCATTGCCCTGGGGTCAGGGCTGCCTCGCGAGGATGAGGGGCTGCAAAGAGCCCACCACAGACAGGGAGGGGGGGCCCAGGCCAGGCTCTGGACGCCGCTCCCCACTCCCTGCTGTCTTTCCAGGGCCTCCTTGAGAAACCTGTCGAGCAGATGATGGGGGCTCAGATCACCCTGGAATCCAGGCTCTGTTTGGTGTTTCACAAACAACTCCTTGAATCCTCCTAGCAAGAAAGCGGCACACCCATTGTCCAGATGAGGAAACTGAGGCTGAGGGGGCAGGGAAGTGCTTGGGCCCTGCACCCCATGGGAGACCAGGAGAAGCACCTGGCTCCTGGCTTCGGATCAGTGTGGTGCGCGGGCTGCAGCGCGCCAGCCGTGGCGGCCATTGGAGGGTGAACCAACGGTGAAAGGAAGACCTTTCTCTCTCTCTCTCTCTCTCTCACTGTCCACTCTGCCTGTCAAAAAAAAAGAACCAGGTGCTTCTTGAGCAGCACAGCTGGGGAGAAGCCCAGGGGTCAGGGTCTCAGCCGCCCCGGCCCCAGGTGTGTGGAGCAGGCCAAGGAGTCCCAGGGAACTGAGTGGACGCCAGGGCCAGGCTGTCCATGTCCTCCAGCCCCTGGGGTCTTCAGGGCCCCTGCTGGCTCAACGGTCCCCTCCTTCCTGTGGGCGCACGAAGGGTTTGCAGGACCCAGCTGCACCTGCAGAGAGAGATGCCCAGCAGAGCCCGGACCCTGCTGCTCGGCCCCAACGCAGCAGCAGCGCTGTCTGTCTGTCTGTCTGTCTGTCTGGTTTTCCCTTCTCCTTTGGGGTCCCACGGACAGGCCCGGCTGCTCCCCTCATGGCTGTTTTTCACTGGCTCTGGGCCAGAGCCTCTTTATGGCCTGGACTTCCTCCCGGCACAGCAAGTGCCTGAGCTCCGTACGCATGGCATCCCTGTCATCGCTTATTCGCTGAACAAACATTTGTGAAGCCTGGACTTGTGTTTGTGGCCACAACCAGCCGGACTTGCATCTGTGAAATCAGCCCACGGTCTGGTCGCTGAGGAGACAGCCGGGGAGACAGGAGCTGGACCCCCAGCAGGGGCGGGCTGAAGCTGGGATGCCCTGCAGGACAGGAGAGCAGGGAGTGGGATGGGACCCACCTGGAGGGGCTGTGTGTGGACGGCCCTGAGGCACGAGTGAGCTGGGGGCCCAGAGGCAGGGGCAGCTCCTCACCCCGTGGGCGACTTTGGGTTTTGTTCTGAGGGCCAGGGGAATCCAGGCAGAGGTACTGGGTGCGGCCCACTTCACAGGCTCCCTCTGGGACGCAGTCACTTGCTCACCCCCGGCAGTGTCGGGAGGCAGGGCCCATGGGACTGACAGGAAGCCTGGGAGGGGAGAGGAGTCCAGACCCAGGCTGCAGTGGCCGCCGTCCCATCCACAAGCAGCCACACCCACCCCGAGTGACAGGCAGACAGGTGCGGGGCCACACCCACCTGGGGAGTGACAGGCAGGCCTGTGCTGACCCCCGAGGCAGGCAGGCCCCAGGAGCATTGACAAGCCCAGGAAGGGCGGGGCGGGAGTGGAGCCGCAGGGGCCGGTTCTGGGCTCGGAGATGGGGCTCTCCAGCGGCCAGGGTTGCATCACCCGGGATGCCCCTCCGAACAGACCCTGATGCAATCCGCCCCCTGCTTGCAGCACAGCTGGCCTCTGCCATCCCTGGGCCCCCAGCCTCACGGCCTCTGTGCCCCTCCTCCCGGGCCCTGCAGGCTCAGCCCCCCACCCCAGCCCCGCAGGCCTGAATCTGCTGAAAGCAAGGTGTGTGGCCCGGGCGTGAGCTGAGCGTGGAGCAGAGAGCTGTGTGCAGGCCACACCTGGCCTTGTGGTTGCAGCACAGGGACTCCCGGTGCCTCCTCACACGGGCACCATAAACGTTACGAAAATGGGCGCAGAACACAGGAGGCGGTGTGCGGATTTACAGCCAGACCGAATTTAGAGAAAACAGACTCGTAGTGGGGACCAGCTGCCTGTGCACGCTGATGGAGCACGCGGCCCCAGCCCTGGGGGTCGGGCCTTTTTATATTCTAGGAGGTCTGGGGTGGGGGTGGGGTGGGGGGCAGCAGGCAGAGGGGAATTCCTGGAACTGGTCTTTCAAGTGTTTCAGCATCTGTTCTCAGGTGGCCCTGGGGGGTGGAGTATGAAGCCAATAGGGTGTGAGCCCAATTGAGATTCAAGGGCAAGGAATGCATTCCAGTGTTTATCTCTTGGGCCGTGAGGGAGAATGGCTGAGGCTGACGTCTTCCATCCCCCCCCCCCAGGCAGTCGCTGGACAAGCCTTCGAGGCAAAGCCAGTTTTGTGAGGGGGACCTGGCATCAAGTATACCTGGGTGGGTGGGCCCCCATCTCCCACTTAGTAGGTGCCTCGTACAGGGGTGCACCCTGGGCTTTGGAGCCCTGGACCCCAGTATCAGACTCGCAGGAGCTGGCGACCTCTGAGTCAGAGAGGCACTGCCATCACTAACAGAGGCTGAGGCCGAGCAGTCAGGGAGGGCCCCAGGAGGGGGGACGAGCCTTCCCGGGGAGGGCCCAGCTGTGCAAAAGGCTCAGGCTGGGGAGACACACAGAGGCCACTTGCAGGTGGCTGTGCCCAGGCTGGGAGTGGCCCCCGGGGCCCGGTGCACCCACCACCTCTCACCACCAGGCTCCTGCGGTTCTGTCGCCGAGACGGCCAATTGCCTCGGTCACTGATTCTTCATTTCAGTTCAGACCTAAAGGTCACTTTATTGTGAAACAGGCACAACGCGGCATCTACCAGGAGGCCATGCAGGTCACTCACGTGCTGGCGACCCCTCCCCCAACTGTAGGACATTGCATCATCCGCAGGAAGCCCTGAGCCCAGCACTCCGCCCCCACCCTCACCTCAGGCCCTCCGGTCTACTTCCTGTCTGTGCAGGAGGAACCTCAGCACCTCCTGTAGTGCGGTCCGTCTGTCCTGCGCCTGGTGGGGGTCCTCACGTGTCGTCCACGCTGTCCCCCGTGTTCTGCACCCCGCTCTGAGGGCCCTGCACTCCAGTGGGCCCCATTTAGCATGC